CCTGTTCTCGCAGTCATTTTACAGGCATGACAGTAAAGGGGATTTGCATGAACAAAGCATCTGCAAGGCTAAGCAATGCATGCTCTATGTTTTGGTAGTGATATCCGGGGATAATTTTAGACTTACCTTTGTTCTCTACAGGTGACGACGCCAAATGTCATGCCAACCAGGTTGAAAGAAGTATAGCATCGGTGATGTTTGGAGCTCCCCATTCTCTGGCTGTAAACAGTCACTGCATCAAGGAGGACGGAGTTCTTTGCATTGGCAGATTCCAGTGAGTTAAGATGCAGCCACCAATCAGCAGCGCAGTTCGCGACCTGGACCACCCGGTACCATGCAATTCCTGTTACCTGAATAAACCATTGGACGTGCTGCTAAAGAGCATCGACAATTCCAGCACCCAGAGGGGGCTTAGTTCACAACATGGTAATGTAAACTCGCTTTTGTATAGCAAACGTTTAAATTTTCCGACGTTTCAAACCTATGTGCACTGAAGGTTACTTGACCGCCCTGGCCTATCGGGTTTTATAATAAACGCACTTACCTTACAGGTGTCCGTCGGTGAGAAAGCAGGTGGACTCCAAGAAGCTGAAGGCCAACAATCTGTTCTGCCGCGAGGCTCGGGGAGACAGGAGGAAGGAGTTTCCCGACTGCTGTGCACGCCTTGTCTGTAAACACTACGTGGACGGGAAGCTTGTGCCGCTGCCGGCGCACAAATATCGCTTGCTCTAGTCAGGGATGGAATGGAACACATTTTCTGGAATGCAAACCAAAAATGTCTGAATACTCGTCCGTTGTGTGCGCCTTTTGGTGCAGCCGAATGTTCCTATTGCTGCGCGGGGCTCTTTCAGTGCGAGTTCTTGTGATAGTGGTGTATTGCATATTTATATAGTTTTTTGTGCACACAGTTATCACTTATTTACTTATTGTGTGCCTGTTTTGTTCGGCACCAACTGATCCCTCAGAAAAATATATTTTTGAATCAGGATTGGCGAGGACTTCTTGAGAGGTCTGGACGAATAATTGTACATAATGCCGTCATCCATTTCTGTGTCTTGATCATCCGTACAACGATTGAAACGTTTGTTAGTAATGTCACCAGTCAGATAAACTTTTACCGGTATTCTTCACTCGAAAAGCAGTGAAATTAACTCCCTGATGGAAGAGCGAAGAACCTGACACATACTACTTGCAGCTCGTGAACTGAGATCTGCAACAAAAGAGAAGAAAAAAACACCCAATTACTTACTCACGTGTGTGGCAGACTGGCAACAGCAGCTACTTGGGCAGCGCCGATTTCCATCAATACATCGTCGTTGCTGGTCCTGTTGTACTCGGGATAAGGTAGTGGAGCCAATGCCAAAGCATACATCAAAGGGGTTTTAGACAGCCGCATTACTATACCTTGCGTGCTGAAGGTCGGCAACTTCCTAATTAGAACTTTTACGTGGCCCGGCAAAATAGCGTTCAGAGGCATGTCATGGCCAATAACGGGATGTTCAAAAGAGTGTATTACGTTTCCTATTTTCAACGAAATCCGGTAGACGTATGACTCAAATGGACTATATACAACAGTTAAATACATTAAGCATGATCACTTGTAGGTGATGTTTGACCGTGTGAACTGCTCAAAGCTGTTCAAAGAAGGAGAAATGGGCAAGTTTTGAGTACTTAACTGTCGATATGAGCGATGCTGAAGGCAGAGGTAGACAAAGTTAGCCAAAAGGATATTAGTAAAATGAATCCGTAAAACTGCTAAAATGATAACAGAAGACGAAGCTATCTATTTAGACAAAGACATTTTTCGGCAATCCGTTTTCTTTTAACTAAAAACTACATCATTGATCCATTTCAACCCTATTTAACCCCAACCACGAAAAGAGAGCGGGGCAACTGGTGCCTGTCGGTATTTGCTTGCATTGCGTCCGATGACATCTAATGCCCACAGTTTCGTGACTTATTTTGGTGTCTTGACTTAGCAGCACTAAACCAACAAAGGGTCATGGAGTTTGATTTTTTTGATCAAGCAATCGAGCCTTGAAAATAACCCCAGACGGCTATTGCACTACTACTTACTGGTGACGTAAGTCATCTCTCTGTGGAAGATGTAGGCAATCCATTATCCGCGCACATTAACTACCTTTAGATGACGCTTGTGCCCATGACAAAGTATATCCCCATTTATATTAGGTGACTCGCAGCAGACCAACTTCGACCGCATGGGTCGCTTGCATTGACCACAACGGGGTGGTTCCTGGCATCTTAGCTATGCATATTCAAGTATCTAAAACACGGACATTGGTGGGAAGGCTCCTCAGTCATGGCTGGAAGCCTCATCCGCATACAGACGAAATCGCATTGTTAAGGGGAGTGTTACACATTTATGTGAGGTTTGGAACTGGAATAGCCATTTTGGAGGCCTTTCGGTGCTGTTCGCAGTCCTACCTGCTTAGACGTAAGCCCCTCTAGTCCCTGAGTTACACGGCCGCGAAAATGGGAAAAGGTATATCGCGGACAGTAAATTAAAGTCACTTTGGCATTCACGACGTCATAATAACGTCATTCATATAGACCCTGTTGACGTTATGTGGTTAATCAGAAAAAAAATGATTGCCCACATGTGGCCATTGTCGACCACTTTTCAATATCCATGGACTGAATTATTTGCCAGGAATGTTTGATGCCAGCTAGCCGCATCAACTATGCTCCTCAGAAGTTTTGGCTCCAAATCGACCAGCAACGACGTATTTATACCCCGATGCAACCAACATAATTATATCTGGTTACCAATATGACGTATTTGCGCGTTTGATGATGAGGGCAACAAACAGTATTTGGGTCTGTCTTCTGTTTGGGTCCTCAACCCTATTTAAAGCAAGAAATTGCTACGTGTGTGGCCATCTTTAATGTAATCAAAAATCTCAAAATGAAAACCCATGCAGCTCAGTTACCTCCGCTGTGCTCCGTGTTCTCACCGAAACGAAGGCACGAATGCTTCACCATGACAGTAATCTTAATAAATCGCATACATTCATTCGCTCGCCGTTAATGATATTGAATAACTTTGCGATGTTTGATGCTTACTGAATAATTGTCTCCCGCGACATCGCCCATAAATATCCCCTTTGTCAACGCCAATGGCTGTGCGTTATTTTTCATATGTGGAGAGCAATCTACGGTGAGAAAATACAACATGCGGGCATAGCGTAAAGAGAGACCAAGATCAACCCCATTGGTACGTCTCTGATTTGGGCTTTCTGTTTATGCATGGCCTTAGACGCCTCCGGCCGCGGTCTAGTTCTACCGAGATCATTTGCGGTAAGACCAATAAAATACCGATAACTCAGATGTTCTAGACATAAACTCTGGGTAATTGTTTTATCGGAGAGGATGCCAACTACTGTACACCCATCCTTTTATCACTGGATTACAAGCGGTTGTTGGAGTCTGCTCATCGTATGTTCCCAAGTAGAAAGGTTAGTCTCCTGGAACAGTTCATGCAGGGCCATTCCTAAAAAGCGCTCATCACCAGACGATGCATCTAAAATCAGGGGCATCGCTCCAGGTCTTCCCACCTCTGCATCTATATTTGCCTCACAAATGCACGGCAACTGTAACGTCACTGATCTCGATTTGCCGGTCGCTTCGAGTCCGGCCTCAACGCGTGACGTCATTATCCTGGCGTCATGAGCCGCAGCCAACAGCTCTCGTCTCGCTCACCACACCAGTACGCCACCGGCTGCGGAGCAGTGTAAATCCCAGGGCTGGAATGCATACATCTGCCATATGAAGACGAACAGCCTGCTAATAACGCATAACCTGTGCACCTGCTCATTACAAAGCGTTGATGCAACTGCATATAACATAAGGCTCCAATGGGACAATGCTATCCCCTTTAAGGCATAGTGCATAGCAGCACATGTATTGGCATTCCGCGTATCCGATCCTCAGACGACTTTGCAAGGATTCCGCAACGGCATTCTCCGGCACCATAGTCAACTGAGAAGTCTGGTGCCAGTAGACCCCATCTTGTCTGAACGTACACAAGAAGCACAGGAAGGATGAGTGAGCCGATGCTAATACGTGTAGCACCAGTACTGTCATTAACTAAGCTGGAAAATACTGGGTTGGCCAATTTTCGGCAGTGTTTTGAGATGTGCGATTGTTGCAGTACTGCCGAAGCAAGACACACTCAGATCCCAGGCACTTTGAGATACAGGGATATCAAGAAAACGATGCCGGCATTGGAAACAAGTGCTGTGCGCTATCTGTTAATGTGTGCTGCGCGTGTTCGTTTGCACACGTTTGCAAGGTGCAGGAAAAAAAGCAGCTACACCAGGCTCCATCCGCAATTTTCAAAGCATCCAGAATAAACAACATGAAACATCCTTCTGGTACAGGCAGCTAGAGTGGGTTAAGTACTTTCCTAGTTGCAAGCAAGAAGTACCCTCTGTCTCTCAGCTCCAGATTTTTCGGGATGATGACTTCGAACCCGATGATGAACGGCATGCGGTTGCTTGACTCCAAGACTGAATCCCGGAGACAGATCAATTTGTTCCAGTCATAAGTCAGTGGTTAGCTGGTAGGTAGCCACAGTGGGTCAGTGGGCCTCATCATCTTGAATGTCAGCTTTCCCACAAAATGTCAGCTTTTTCTTCTGGATTCGGCAAACGATTTGCAGAGCATCTCTGCGACCCACCTCCGCTTGCTTCTGTTAGCCACCCGTGGCCTTTCTCGGCCGTTTGCTGTATTACGTTGCGGTCGGTCTTTACAACAGACCTCATTTCGGCTCGACCTCAATGGGTACGTCACGGTGACGCCCCCCCCCCCCCCCCCTCCCATAAAGGCTGGCGTCAGACACGTGTTAGAACAGCGTGTCTCGGAAGGACTTCGTCCCGGAAAACTGCGCTGATCACGACCGGCCCTGTGCACCGTGACGTCACGGTCCGGTTGCCGCATATATAACGAGCCGGCCGCTGGGGACTGCATACAGAAGCGTTTGGTGGCCAGACCAGACAACAGACGAGAGTGGACTCTGGTCAACTGCAGTGCAAGACTGTCAGTCAGCAATATGTGGAAACTACTGGTCATCGCTGCTGTTTGTGTGCAGCTGTGCTGTGCACAGTACCCGAGATACCTTCGTTTCCCGGTTGGCAGAGGTGAGATCTAACAATGCGATGTCATGGTAACTTTATATATCCAATCGATACCGCTTGTCTTTTCTTGCAGTCAGCTTACGAGTATAATAGCAAAGTAGCTTTTGATGAACAAATTAGCTGCAAAACTAAATTATGCCGACATGATGTCTTGACTGCGATATCCTGAGGGCTAACTTTCTACTTATCTTTGTTCTCTACAGGTGATGACACCAAATGCCATGACAACCAGGTTGACAAGAAGTACAACATCGGTGATGTCTGGAGCTCTCCATTCTCTGGCTGTAAACAGAGCCACTGCGTCAAGGACGACGGCGTTCTTTATATTGACAGATTCCAGTGAGTATGAAATGCAGTCATCAGTTAGCCGTTGGAGGCCGGGGCCTGGTCGCCCGCGCCCGTGGAACTTTTGTTACCTCATTAAGCGTACTGGACACACTATTGAAGAGCTCCGTCATTTTCAGCGCTCAGACTTGGTAAAGCCTCCAACATGCTAATGTAAGCCAGGATTCTTATGAATCATGTTTGTACTTATTGACGTTTGAAACCACGTGCACTGAAGGTTGACCGCCCTGGTATGTCGGGTTTTATAATTAACTTACTTACTTTACAGGTGTCCGTCGGTGAGAAAGCAGGTGGACTACAAGAAGCTGAAGGCCAACAACCTGTTCTGCCGCGAGGCTCGGGGAGACAGGAGGAAGGAGTTTCCCGACTGTTGTGCACGCCTTGTCTGTAAACACTACGTGGACGGGAAGCTTGTGCCGCTGCCGGCGCACAAATATCCCCTTCTCTAGTCAGGGCTAGGATAAAGCTACGATTGCTGGAGTGCAAACCAAAGATGTCTGAATATTCGTCAGAGTGGGCATATTTGGTGTTACCGATGTTCCTATTGTTGCGCGGGATCCAGTGCGAGTCTTGTGATATTGGTACGTTGTGTATTTATATTGCTTTGTGCATACAAAGAGCACTTTTTTTTACTGGTCCCCGTGTTTTGTTCGGCGGCCATCTGATGCTCAGGAGAATACACTTTTAAAATGGGTTGATTTGATTTTTTGAGACATTTGGCGAATCATCACCTATAATTTTGATTTTCCGTACATTGATGAAACGCTTATGAAGGCTCTCACCAGCCAGATACATTTTTTACCAGCATTCTTCACTCGAAACGCAGGACAATGAAGTTCCTGATGCAAGCGCGAATAAACCTGACATTGGTCTTCGGATCCTCACTGACATTTGTAACAAAAAGAGAACGAAATCGCACAATCTTTGCTTAAGTTGATTTTGCTTAAGGCTGTCAGTTAAGTGAATCCGTTGGTCTAATAAAAAGCTGATGAAAGGCGAGGCTGTTCCGCTTTTCCGCTACTTGTAAAAACGTACGCCATTGAACTCTCTTAACCTCTTTAAGGGGTGATCATAGAGCTGAAGAACTGGTGTCGACCGGCATTTGGCCGAGCCGCGTCCGGTGGCACCGAATGGTCTGATGAGCTGTGATGACAAACTCGCGATCTGTGCCGCCGTTTTTGCGTCGCGGCGATGATAACATCATATGTAGTTGATGGGGAATTAAACTCCTTATTTTTGTCGCACATTCTTAGCAGTATCCATGTTTTTTGGCGGGCCGTGGGGAGGGGGATGGTCGAAGGGCGTTGTTGGAGAAACTTCCTGACCAAATATCTATCCTGCGCCTACCGTCCCTGGTCTATTCTTCAAATAAAAGTTCAATGCGCTGTCGAAGAAATGTTTGATGCGGCCAATGTATCGCAGTATGTTCACAGCATTACCTAGCAATTCAGTGTCTTAACCGAGCACCCCTAAACGCACACATTTTCCTGCAGCTTAACTCTTTGATACTGCACTCGAGCCCGAAAAATGGCCACAAACGTCTTTTGCCCACCTACTTGCTGGTGATGTAAGTCATGCCTTTGAGGCTGACGAACGCATCCACTACCGCTCACAGATTTACCGTGTCTAGACAACCATTGTATTTATCGCAAAGGATAACCGCATCCATATCAGGTTGACTCAAAGTAGACCAGCTCTGTCCGCATACGTCACTTGTATTGACCACAACAGGGTGACTCCTGACCTCTCAGTTACGCATATGCCAATATCTGAGACCCGGACACGGCTGGGCAGGGTCCTTGGTCATGACTTAGATGCTCGTCTGCATCCGTACACAATCACCACGGGGACATGGGTCTTGTTGGCGCCATAAAGTGAGACAGAATAAACTAACTGTCTAAACGTGGACCATTCTCAAACCCCTTTCATCTTCCATGCTTGAGTTATTTCGGATACATTTAATCGTTCCATCCAACCACATCAACGAGGCTTTTTTACTGTCCAAATTCCAAACCGACTAGCAACGAAGCGTTCATAGCCCCGATGCAGCCAACATAATTATCTCTGGATACCAATGGTACGTATTCGCGCGTTTGTATACTAGCTGCAACGAACAGTGTTTTCGATGGTCTTCTGTTCGGGTCCACACTCGTCCTGAAAGCAACAAAATGTCCGGTGCGCACTCATCTTTAGCGTAAGACGAATCTTCCACGCTGAATCTCGTGCAGCCCACTTACTCCCACTGTGCTCCGTTTTGTCACCGAAAGAGGGCACAAATGTTTTACCGCACCAATAATTTTAATTAAATGCATGTATACCTTCTCTCTTTGTTAACAATATTGACCAGCGAATTATATAGGCATTAGTTTTTTAAGTGAAATATTTGCTTTTAGCTGCAATTTTTGCTCTTGATAAGAGCGAACGACCCTTTCCTGTTGGAGAATAGGGAATGCAGCCCTCTCCCCTTGTCGTTGCCCATTGCTACCTCCCTTGGTAATGCCTATGATTGCACGGATATTTTTTTTTGAAATCTGCCAAGATCCATCTACATTGCTAAAATAAGACATCCCGGCATCTAGGGTAAATACAGACCTGGATCGCGCCCTGGGTTGTGTCTCTGAATGGGGATTTCTGGTTATTCATAGGATTAGATATATGCGGCCACGGTATAATTCTTCCGAATATATTTGTGGTAAAAGCCACAAAATGGTAATAACTCGGGTGCTCTACACGTAAACTCGGGGGCTCTTTTATCAGAGTGGATACCAGCTACTGTACACCAATGCTTGTTATCTCTGAATTGCAAGCGGTCATTGGCTTCCCCTCATCGTATGTTTCTCAGTAGAAAGATTAGTCTTCTGGAACAGTTCATAATAAGCCCATTTCTTAAAAAGCGCTCATTACCAGACGATAACGTTCAAATAAACGCCCTCTTTATAGGTCTTCCCACCCCTGTATCTATATTTCCCTCACAAACGCACGCAACTGTAACGTCACTGATCACGATTTGTCAGTCGTTCCGAGTCGGGCCTCAATGCGTGACGTCATTATCCTGACGTCACAGGCCGCAGCCAACAGCTCTCGTCTCGCTCACCGCACCAGTACGCCACCGGCTGCGGGGCCGTGTTAATCCCAGGGCTGGAATGCACATATCCGCCATATGAAGTCGACCAGACTGCTAATAATGCATAACCAACGCGGGTGCACGCTGCAAAGCGTTGATGGAACTACATGTGGCATCACATTCCAATGGGACAAAACTATCTGCTTTGAGGCATAGTGCATAGCAGCACATGCATTGGCAGCACGCATTCGATCTCCAGACGACCTTGCAAGGATTCCGCAACGGCATTCCCTGGCACCATAGTCAGCGATGAGAAGTCCGGCGCCAGTAGGCCCCATCTTGAGTGGACGCACGCAAGAACCACAGCAAGAGTGAGTGAGCCGATGCTGATGCCAATGGCACCAACGCTGTCAGTAATCATGCTGGAAAATAAGAGGTCGGCCGATTTCGACAGTGTGTTGAGATGTGATATTGTTGCAGTGCTGTCGAAGTGAGACCTGTTCAGGTCTGAGGGACTCTAAGATTCAAGGATACCGAACACACGATGTCCGCATTGGAGACAAGTGCTGTGCGTGATCTGTTGATATGTGCTACGCATGTCCGTTTGCACACGTTTGTAAGATGCAGGGAAAAAACAGTTTCAACAGGTTCCATCCGCTATTTCCAAACCATCCAGCATCAACAACATAAAACACCCTTTTAGTGCAGGCAGCTAGGGTGGGTGAAGTACTTTCCTAGATGCAAGCAAGAAGTACCCTCTTTCTCTCAGCTCTAGACTTTTCGGCATTATGAGCTCGAACCTGATGCTAAATGGCTTGCAGTCGCTTGACTACAGGATTAAGTCCTAGAGAAAGGTCAGTTTGTTCCAGCCATAGGTCAGAAGATATCTGGTGGCTAACCACAGTGGGTCAGCAGAGCATGGGCCCTCGCGATATTTTTTCACGTGAGCAAACAGACCCGAGGCGAAATAAGCCATTCAACTGGGACGGTGCCCTCCGGTTAGTGTGTTGGCCGCAACCAACAATGTATTGCTAACATGTGCTATGTGTACAGGGCCTCGTATTCTTGTCTTCACGTGAGCAAAACAGACCTGAGGTGAAATTATCCATTCGACTGGGGCAATGTCCCCCGAGTAGTGGGTTCGCCGCAGGCAATTAGGTATTGTTAGCATGTGCTATGAGCCTGCTGTCACCCGTGCAAGGCATTCAGCATTTGTTCTGTCTAAATTGCTTTTGAAAGTCCTTATGCCGTAGCGTCAATGCTGTGGTCGTCCCCTTTCCTTACAGCCACCACCAAATAGCATGTTTCAAACCGCTCCGAAGCCCGCTGAGACCACGCATACATCAGCCAGGGACCAGCTTAGATGCCTCACACGAAGACTTCGTAGAAAATGCAACATCGATGTAGTCAGCAAAATCGGTGAAGTTCTAATGTCATTTTCAAAGAAATCGGATTCGATGCTCATGATGCATCAAGGTTCAAGGCACAAGATGAAGTCATCAAATGACAGTCATCAAACGGGATGCTAATAAAAAGCACAAATATCTGTAGGGCTGTTTTCTGCAGAGACATCTTGGACGACATCCTCATATCAATTCTAATACCACCAGTTCCCTGCAAAGCCACTAGGTCGACAACATTAGTGTTCTGTGCACATCGAAAATGTAAACCTGCTAGGGCTTGACAATCTCAAGCTCGTTCAGGCCTGGCGAAATTCGTATGAGGCTGTGGAGAGAATTTTCCATCAGCAATATTGGCAGTTAGCTTTGGAAAAGGGCTGCGTTCGCACCATGCTGACATGATCAATATTTACGGGCGCACAATGGATGGATGATGCTGGGATGCATGGGCGAGTCGTGCCATAGCGGGGCCGTACCACAGCGGGCCATGCATGGCGGCAAGTGTCGGCAGCATTATGCAGGTACGTCCGGAATGTTAACTTTTTCAGCTTTCTGGATCCGGTAAACAGTTTGCAGAGCACTTCTGCGTCCCACCCTCGTTTGTTTCTGTTAGCGACCCCTGATCTTTCTTGGTGGTTTGTGGTGTTACGGAGCGGTTAATCTTTACAACAGATCTCATTTCGGCTCGGCCTCAATTGGTGCGTCACGGTGACGCCTCCCCACCCCGCTCTCCAAAGCCAGACATCACGCACGTGTAAGAAAAGTGTCTCTCGGGAGGATTTCCTCCCGGAAAACTGCGCTGTTCACGACTGGCCCTTCTGCATCCATTCCTCAGCCGGCTGCTGGGGAATGGATGCAGAAGCGTTGGGTGACCAGACCAGACAACGGAGAAGAGTGGACTCTGGTCAGCTGCAGTGCAAGACTTTCAGTCAGCAATATGTGGAAACTGCTAGTCATCGCTGCTGTTTGTGTGCAGCTGTGCTGTGCACAGTACCCGAGATACCTTCGTTTCCCGGTTGGCAGAGGTAAGATTGTGACTTTACATATCCCATTGAAACCGCTTGACTTTTCTTGCAGTGTGCTTACGAATATAGCAGGAAGGTTTTTCATGAACCAAGCATATGCAAAACCAAACTAAATGCACCCGATGTGTTAGCTGCGAGATTCTGAGTGCCTACCAACGACGTCTCTTTGTTCTCTTCAGGCGACGACACCAAATGTCATGATAACCAGGTTGACAAGAAGTACAACATCGGTGACGTCTGGAGCTCTCCATTCTCTGGCTGTAAACAGAGTCATTGCGTCAAGGACGACGGCGTTCTTTACATTGACAGATACCAGTAAGTATGAAAAGCAGTCTCCAATTAGCATTTGAGGGCCAGTGCACAGCCGCGCGCACCGTGCAATTCTTCTGACTTGAACGTACTGAACATGGTACTGAAGAGCTCCGTCATTTCCATCGCGGATGAAGCATTACCCCAGGCTTGGTGAAGTGCATAACATGCTAATGTAAACCAGGGTTCGTATGATTTCTGTTCGTGCTCGCTGCCGTTTCAGACCAGGAGCGTTGAAGGTTTATTGACGGGCCTGTCCCATTTGCTGTTATAATTCACGCACTTATTTTACAGGTGCCCGTCGGTGAGAAAGCAGGTGGACTTCAAGAAGCTGAAGGCCAACAATCTGTTCTGCCGCGAGGCTCGGGGAGACAGGAGGAAGGAGTTTCCCGACTGCTGTGCCCGCCTTGTCTGTAAACACTACGTGGACGGCAAGCTTGTGCCGCTGCCGGCGCACAAATATCCCCTGCTCTAGTCATGAATGGGATGGAACTACATTTGCTGAAATGTAAACCGAAGACGTCTGAATATTTGCCCGCGTGTGCACATTTGGTGTAACCGAGTGTTGCTATTGCTGCAAGGGCATTCAGCGCGACTCTTGTGATATTGGTGTATTGTCTATTGATGCTATTTTGTGCACGCAATTATCACTTTTTTATTTATTGGTCGCTTGTTGTGCTCGGCACCACTCTGATGCTCAGGATAATATACTTTCGAGCCCGGATGACTGGAACTTCTTGTGACACCTGGGTGAATCATTATCCCCAATTTAGTCATCCGTACACCGATGAAACGTTTGCGGGGGCTGTCACCAGTCGTAAACATTGTTACTAGCTCTCTTCACTCGAAACGCTGGGAAACCAGGTTTCTGATGGAAGCGCGAATAAACCTGGCATATACAACTTTGAGGCCCTGACTGAGATCTGCAACAAACGAGAAAAATCACACAGCCGTTCATTAAGTTAATGTTACTAAAGGCTCTAAGGTAAGTAAATCTCTGAACCTACTAAAAAGCTAACGAACGAAAAAGTTTTTTCCGCCTATCCGCCACCTTTTAAAACGTCCATCGCTGATCGCTTTCAATCTCTTTAAAGGGGGATTATAGAGCTGTGGAATTGGTGCCCGTCGGTATTTCGTTGAGCTGCATCCAATAGCGCCGAATAGGCTGATGAGCTTTGGTGACAAACGCACGATCTGTGCAACGGTTCTTTGCATGCGTTATGATCATGATAATGTGATGTGTAGTTCCTGAAGGATTTAGCCAATCATTCTTGCCGCATACTCTCAGCGCAATGCACTATTCTTTTTTGGACGGCGTGGGTTAGGGTGTCGAAGATAGGTATTAGGGAAACTTCTCCGAAGCCAAACGTTTCTGGTTTATTCTTAAAGTAAAAGTGCGATACAGTGTCGAACAAACCTTTGGCACAGGCTAATGTATCGCGGTATGATCGGAGCATCACAAAGGATTTCAGTGTCTTAATGTAGCCGCACTAAACGCACACATTTTCCTAAAGGTTACATTTCTCGATCATACTCTCGAGCCTTAAAAATGGCCGAAACGTCTCTTGCCCATCTACCTTCTGGTGACGTAAATCGCCCCTCTGAGGCTGGTGAAGGCATCCATTATCTTTTGCAGATTTATAGCGTCTGGACGACCTTTGTGTTTATGACATATATGTATCCGCGTGCATATAATACATGTAACCGCGTGCACATGCGGCTGACTCACAGTAGACCAGCTTTGCCCGCATGAGTCACTTGTATTGACCACAACGGGGTGATTGCTGACATCTCCGTTATGCATATTCCAGTATCGGAGGTCCGGACATTGCTAGGAAGTGTCCTCAGCCATGGCTGGAACCCTCAACCATATCCCCACACAATCACTCTGCTAAGACAGGCCCCGTCGGCCCCATGTTCTCACGTAGAAGGAAATGATTGTCTACACGTAGACCGCTCTCAACCCATTTTCAACTTCCGTAAATTCTACTATTTCTAGTTGTTTCTATTTATAACTATTTCGGACAACCTGGTTTCTTGCCAGCCAGCTATATCGACTAGGCTCTTTGTACCGTCTTGGTTCCAAATCGACCAGCAACGAAGTGTGCATGCCCCCGATGCAGCCAACAGAAATATCTCTGGTTACCAATAGAACGTTTTCGTGCGTCTGGATAATGCCGGCAACGAGCAATACTTGAGACGGCCCTCTGTCTGGGTCCACATCCCTCATGAAAGGAACGAAGTGTGGGGTGTGTGCAAATCCTAGGTGTTATCGAAACTTCCACGTTGAATCCAGTGCAGCACAATTATTCCCACTATGTTTCGTGTTGTTACTAAAAACAATGAACATATGCTTCGCCATACCAGTATTTTTATTTAATTCATGTCTTCATTCGCTCAATCTTAATGACATCGTCTCACGATTTATCTACGTAATAGTCATTCATGTCGAATATTTGCCTCTTTGCGAGAATTTTGCTCCTGATAAGAGCGAACGATACTCTCCTGTCGGAGAATAGGGGATGCAACTCTCTCCCCCTGTCGTCGACCCTTATTAGCACGTTTGACAATGCCCATGGTTGCATCGTGATAAAAAAATCTGTGAAAAGCCATCTACAGTCCTAAAATGAAACATACCGTCATAGGGAAAGGACAGACCTGCATCTACCCTCGGCCGAGTCTCTAAACATGGCTCTCTGTTTATTCATGTGCTTAGGCATATCAGGTCACGATTTAATACTACCGATATTATTTCCGGCGAAAGTAATAAGATGCTAGTAACTCATTTGCTCTACATGTAAACTAGGGGTAGTCTTTTTATCAGGAAGGGTACCAACTCCTGTGCACCAATTCTCCATACCCCTGGATTGCACGCGGTCGTTGGCGTCCCTCCAACGTGAGTTGCCAGGAAGAAAGATTAGTCTTCTGGAACACTTGGCATCAAGGCCACTTCTAAAAATCGCTCACCGCCGGACGATGAATTTCAAACGAGTGCCATCTATGCAGGTCTTTCCACCCCTGTATCTATTTTTGCCTTACAAATCCACGCAACTGTAACGCGTCACTGATCACGATTTGCCAGTCGTTCCGAGTCGGGCCTCAGCGCATGACGTCATCCTGACTTCACGAGCCGCGACCAACAGCTCACGTCGCGCTCAGGGGACCAGTACGCCACCGGCTGTGCGGCCGAACCAATCCCAGGGCTGGAATGCATATAGCTGCCTTATTTAGTCGATCAGTCTGTTAGTAATGCTTGGTCTGTGCAGCTGAGCATTGCAAGGTGTTGATGTAAAGGTGCATGATATCACATTCAGGTGGGACGAATTCATCTCCTTACAGGCTTACTGCATAGCAGCACATGTACTGGACTTTTTCCTTGGAAACATTCCACGTATTCGACCTTTGGACGGCCTTGCAAGGATTCCGCGACGGCAGTTCCCCGCACCGTCATCATCGATGAGAAGTCCGGCGCCAGTGAGGTCTTATCTCGTCCAGACGCCCATGGGAAGCACGTGAGCCAGGGTGAGTGGGCCGATGCTGTGTGTGGGCCGAGTGTGTTACCCCAGTACTGTCAGCAATGGTGCTGGGAAAAGATTAGGTCGGTCGGGTTTCGATAGCGTGCTGAGATGTGGGGGGACTGTGGAAGTGCTGTCGAAGTTTAATCTGCTGAGATCCCAGGACTCCCAAGACACCATGATGTCCAACACACGATACCGGCATCGGAAACAGACGAGCGTTTTTGGTTGCCGTATGTTGTGCATGTCCGTTTGCACATGTAATATCTAGGACGACGTAGCACTTTCAACAGGTTCAAGTTGCAATGTTAAAAGCATTCAGAACTTATAGTTAAAATGACCCTTTGGCGCAGACAGCTAGAATGGGTGTAGCATTTTGCGTGGTTTATGCAAGAAGGACCTTCAGCCTCTCAGCTTTTATCGTTTTTTTCGTCATTGTGGGTTCGAATCCGGTGATGAACAGCGTCCGGTCGCCAGACCCCAGAATGGAATCCCAGAGATAGATATATTTGTTTCAGTCATAGGTCAGTGGTTAGCCGGCAGCTGCCCAGGGCGAGCCGGGTACAGGGCCTCGTGATCTTGCCTTCACATGAGGAAACGGACCTTAGACGAAATCACCCGGGACCATGCCCCCCGGGTGGTGGCTTGACTGCAAGCACTACGGTGCTTCTGGAAAGTGCTATAAGCCTGACGTCTATGCAAAATGCCCGTGAGCCCTTGTAAATAATTTTATTTGTTTTTTCTGTGTTACTTATTTTTGAAAAATCTTATGTCGTTACCTCAATGCAGTGATCTTCTCGTTTCCTTCCATTCACCACCAAATGTCTGAATTCACGTCGCTCCGAAGCCCGCTGTGTCTATGTATGTATACCAGCCAATGACTATTTCAGTACCCTGACACGAAGACATTGTAGAGAATTTTGAAATGATATCAGCAAAATCCCCCAAACACTGAAGTAATTTTGAAGGCGTTCATATTCAAGGCTCAAGACGAAGCCACGAATCGATAACCGACGTGTTCGCAGGAAACACCAGAAAGTCTCACTAGGTTCTTTTGCAGTGTAATCTCGGAGACACACCTTAAGAATATTGCAGTACCGTCAGTACGCCATTTTTTTAAAGATCCTTAGATATATTTCCATCAGCAATATTCCCCCCATGCCGCACGCCAGGTAATGCTCGGGTAAACCAGCATTTGCACCCTGCCGACATGATCCACAGTTACGAAAGCACAGTGGATGGAAGATGCCTGGATACATGTACGAGTTGTGCCAAAGCGGGGCCGTACCGCGGCGGGTCATGAGTGGAGGCAACTGTCGGCGGCATTAGGTATCCAGCCTTCTGGATCCGAGAAGCGGTTGGTAAAGCGTCCCACCTCCGCTTTTTTCTGTCGGCCCCTTTCTTGGCCGTTTCCAGTATTGCGGTGCGGTGGTGTTCACACCAGATCCCATCCCGGTCCGACCCCAATAGGTGCGTCACGGCGAAGGCCCCCAAACGCCGGGCGTCAGGCACGTGCTAGAACAGCGCCTCTCGGGAGAATGTCCTCCCGGGAAACTGCGCTGATCACGACCGGCCTTGTGCGCCGTGACGTCACAGTCCGGTGCCGCATATATAACGAGCCGGCCGCTGGGGACTGCATACAGAAGCGTTTGGTGGCCAGACCAGACAGCAGACGAGCGTGGACTCTGGTCAACTGCAGTGCAAGACTTTCAGGCAGTAATATGTGGAAACTGCTGGTGGTCGCTGCTGTTTGTGCGCAGCTGTGCTGTGCACAGTACCCGAGATACCTTCGTTTCCCTGTTGGTAGAGGTAAGATCTTTTGATATGATTTCCTGGTGACTTTATCAAGCCATTTCATATCATTTGCCTGTTCTCGCAGTCGGTTTAGAAGCTTGATAGCAAAGTGTCTCTTCGTGAACAAGGCAGCTGCAAAGCTAAACTATGTGTGCTCTATGTTTTGGTAGCGATATCCTGGGGGTAACTCTCGACTTACCTTTGTCCTCTACAGGTGACGACACCAAATGCCATGACAACCAGGTTGACAAGAAGTACAACATCGGTGATGTCTGGAGTTCCCCATTCTCTGGCTGTAAGCAGAGTCACTGCGTCAAGGACGACGGCGTTCTTTACATTGACAGATTCCAGTGAGTGTAAAATGCTGTCATGAATCAGCAATTGGAGGTCGCGACCTGGACATCCGTCACCGTGCAATTCTTGTTTCCCAATTTACCCCCTGGACATGCTATCCAAGTGCTTCGTCATTTCCAGTGTTCAGAATTGTTGAAGTACAGGTGAACATGCTAATATTAAGTCTTGGTGAAGTCAAGGTGAACATGCGAATGTAAGTCAAGATTTGCATGGCAAACGTTTAAATATGTCTATGTTTCAACTCATGCGCGCTGAATGTTACTTAATGACCCTGGCCTATCAGGTTTTATAATTCACGCAACCACTTTACAGGTGTCCGTCGGTAAGAAAGCAGGTGGACTTCAAAAAGCTGAAGGCCAACAATCTGTTCTGCCGCGAGGCTCGGGGAGATAGGAGGAAGGAGTTTCCCGACTGCTGTGCCCGCCTTGTCTGTAAACACTACGTGGACGGCAAGCTTGTGCCGCTGCCGGCGCACAAATATCCCCTGCTCTAGTCAGGGCTGGAATAAAGCTTTACTGGAGTGCGAACCAAAGATGCTTGAATATTCGTCCGTGTGGGCACCTTTGGTGCAGCCTGATGTGTCTATTGCTGCCTAGGCTTTCAGTGCAAGTCTCGTGATATTGGTGTGTTGTCTTTTTATACCATTTGATGCACACAAATATCACTTTTTATTTATTGATCGCCTGTTGTGTTCGGCACCGATCTGATGCTCAAGAAAATATATTTTCGAATCCGGGTAATCGGAACTTCTCGTGACATCAGGTTGAATCATTTTCTATAATTTCGTCATCTATTTCGGCGCTTTGATTATCCCTACAACGACGAAATGCTTGCGAGGGCTCTGACCAGTTCGATACATTTTTACCAGCACTGTGCACTCAAAACGCAGTGGAATCAAGTTCCTGATGGAAGCGTATATAAATCTTACATACACAACTTTCATACCCTGACTAAGGTCTGCAACAAAAACGGGAAAAATCACACAATCGTTTCGTCCTCTGTGTGACAGACTGGTAGCAGCTATTTGGGCAGTGAGACTTTCATCAATGCATCGTCGCTATGAGTCACGTTATACTCAGGACAGGATAGTGTGACCGATACAAAAGCATACATCACTGAGGTTTTTACAGCCGCATTCCTGCAGCTTGCGTTCTGAAATTCGACGATTTTTATATATCTGACTTTCACCAGACCTGTCAGAATGACTTTGGGAAACGTGTCATGGCCAGTCACTGGCTGTTAAAAGAGTGTATTCCGTCCCGGCTTTTCGACGCCACCCGGTCGATGTATGACTGAAATGAATTGTGAGAACGGTTCACTACATCAGCAATGTTCACCTGTAGGTGATATTTAAACTTATGAACGGCTCAGGTGGCTCCAAGAACATAAATTTGGGAAGTTTGCGTACTTAACTGTCGACATGAGCGATGCTGAAGGTAGAGGTAGGCAAAGTTAGTCAACAGGCTATCAGTAAAGTAAATTCGTAAAACTGAAAAAGCTAGCACAAGATGAGACTTTTTCGGCTATTCGTTATTTTATGAAAATGTACATCATTGATATCTTTCAACGTCATTCAGGACGATAATTCGGCTGGACTGTTGGTGCCTGTCGTCATTTGATCGGACAGTGTTCAGTGACACCGAATGGCGTGATGTTGCTTTGTGGCAAACGCAAGATATATGCCCTGGGTTCTATAAGTATATGATTATCATGATAATGAGATGACTAGTTTCTCTGGGATTAGCTAATGACTGTTATCGTACATTCTCAGCACTTGCTACTGTTGCTGTTTTTGCGAGGGGGAGAGGTGTGGGAGCACAGGAGTTTGAAGAAGGCTACGCGAAGAAGTTTTTCCTGTGACAGTCTCAGCCTGCTTCCATCGTCCCGATCTATCCCTTTGGTAGAAGTGCGATGTACTGTCGAGCAAACCTTTAGTGCAGACCAGTGTATCACAGTATGCTCACATCATCACAAAGCATTTAAGTGCATTGACCCGGTGACATTAACTGCCCACGTCTTTCTAGAGTTCACATTTTTCGATCATGCACTCCAGGCTTAAAAGATGCCGTAAACGTCTCTTGCCCACTTACCTACTGGTGGCGTACGACGTTTCTGATACTGATGAGAGCGTCCACTACTCCTCACAGATTTACATTATTGTCTCACAGGCTTGACAGAGAGAAGTCAACCAATGTGGTACATTGTGTAATGGCACGGGTCAACAGTGTCATCATGGCGCTACCTCAGTGTCGTACTGTGACATGGCATAATGAACAATGATACGGGTTTTGCACTGCAAATCCCTACTGCTTTCACATTAATTCCAAGACGGGTTAAGTATGGATGCTTGTATTAACTCCGCACCTGACATATGACTGACCAAAAACAAATGATGCGATGTTCAAATCACTTTTAGAAAAGCGCACAAACAATAGTGACATCAACTTGCTCAGCCTGTTTTGGGAATCTACAAAACATAAGTGACAAAGATGCAAAGACGTCTTAAGCTTCCACAGTCACGCAACATGTTGCAGCTATTAGGCTGCTTCACTCAAAACTATTGTTCACACAAGTAATAACACATGTATAACAAAAAGGTATTACATATAGTGAAATGACACTGCAAACCTGCTGACCTTGCACGATGCAACGAAGTGATCAGGCTGTCAGTGCACACAAGGCTCGTGATAAAAATATTATTAAATGCTATCCAAGAACCCAACAGCAATACTTTTTTACCTTTCTCAACACCCAGAATCTCACGCAAGTTGCAGCGACTGTGACAATGATGACTCACAAGTATTGCCTGCGTGCATACAAAATTTGTTAAGACAGAAGTATTTGCATCTATAATAATACAGCACTATATTTTCATAATTCTTCAGTGAAAGAGAACTTTGCAAATCTGTATCATGTGAGCTGATACCAAGCATGTACATTAATGAGCTGTGCTGACCTGTCCCTACTGCCTACATGAGATGCTAATATTATGGCATGCAATGGATTAATTACATGTTATATGCTTCAATAGGTTCAGAATGTTGGGAAGATGCGCAGCATAACTCACCGCATAATTCGCTCCTTCGTAATGAAGCAGCGAATTGCCTTTGAACACCCCTGCAGCATGGGTGCTAGTGTTTCTTTCAGTTTGCCGACAAGACTACCTTGTGTTTAAACGCAAATCAATGTATCACATTTTATCGGGATTCATTAGGCTCAAAAGATATTAAAACAATGTTCTCTCTCAGAAGTACAAACCTCGCGCGCATACTCCCCATCACATCAAGATCAATACAAGCCACTGGCACGCACCACCAGTGATCACACCCATTTCACGTGCCTGATTCACACTCTAATGCCAACTAAGTGTGATCCCACACTTGCGCAACCCGCAGGGCTGTCAAATTCCAGGCATTCTCGCAATATCCGCTACAGGTTTTCAGGTTATAACTCAGCATTTCACCGTGACCTCCGTTCAAAACAAAGTCCCAACGGGGGTTTATGGTAACACAACTCAAGAATATTCAATAATTTCCAAGAATTGAGTCACAGTGTTTCGTTCAGGATTTAAATTTGTCCCTATAGTATGTGTTGAATTTGTAGTAAAACTAGATCTAAAATTGCCGTAATATTTCCTAGCTTTATAATGCCTTGCTAACCCATAAACCCCTGCAGGGTTCTTTGCTCCGGTACACAAGACGCCAACCGAGCTGTCTGTACGAAATACGTCAGAGGAAGAAGAAACAAAACGCCAGCAGGAGAAAAAATGAAGACCCTGCCGTCGCGTCTTCTTTTTTATAACATTCGGGAGAGTGCCGTTGTTTTTTCGGTGCCTGTACTTTTTGCAGACAGTGACGTTTTCTTTTTAAAGCATTGACCTATGGTCTAGAAATAAGGAAAAATGCCCTGTTGACGACGAGTGCCGCACATCCCGAAGGTGCTCACGCTTACGTTCGCGACGCGCATTCAGCAATTAAATCTCACTAACAGCCAATCACCCTCCGCGGATTGCATCATGCGTGCCGCATCATCGCTCTTGCGAGCGTAACAGCGCCCATGTTATTTTGACCTTAAGCAGAAAGCAGTCTGTAGTATGACGGCAATCGTATGACTTTTCTATGACGACATCAAAGCCAAAGTGACTTTGAAGTTGTCTCCCAATAACCTTTTTGCACTTTTGCGGGCGTGTAACTCAGGAACCAGAGGGTTTTTGGTCTTAAAAAGGGCATGGCTGTGAACTGTATCAAAATGTCCCCGAGATGGCTATTTCAGTTCAAAACGCCAATGTAAGGGTGGAACATTCTCTTCAAAGGGTGATGATCCAGCGGGACAGCTGGTGGCCGTCGTCATTAGATCGGACTTCCTCCGGTGACACCAAATGGTTTGATGGGCTTTGTTGACGAACGCAAGATCTATGCCTTGGTTCTATGCGTACATGTTATCATGATAATGAGAAAGATGTAAAGTTGCTCTGGGACTTAGCTAATCATTCCTACCGCATACTCACGGCATTTACTACATATTTTTAGGGGGACGTGGAAGCTTGAAAAAGGATATAAAACTACTTTTCCTATGGCATTCTTCGCTTGCTTCGTTCGTTCCTGAATTATTCCTTTGTTAGTAGTGTCATGCACTGTCGAACAAACCTTTAATACAGACCAGTGTATCGCACTATGCCCACAGCATCACGAGTTTTTGGGTACCATTACCTAGCAGCACTAACCGCTCACGTCTTTCAGGGGTTTGAATTCTTCGACCAAATACTTGGGCCTTAAAAATGGCCACAAACGTCTCTTGCCGACTGAGTTACTAGTGACGTCAGTCATTTCTGTAAGGCTTATAAAGGCATCCACTACCCCTCGCGTATTTCCTGCGTCTGGACCACCCTTTGTTCATGGCAAAGTACAACCGCGTTCAGATGAAGCTGGGCCACAGTAGACCAACTTTGACCGCATGGGTCTATTGCATTGACCACAACGGGGTGATTTTTTACTTCTCAGTTATGCATATGCCGGTATCTGGGAGGCGGACATGGCTGGGGAGGGACCTCGGTCAAGGCTGGAAGCCTTAACCACATCCCACATAATCACCCTGGTAACAAAGACCCTGTTGGCACCTTATAGTCAGGCAGAGGAAAATGATAGCCTGCACGTACATTATGCTCAACCACTTTAAACTCCCATGGCTTAAATTGGTTTGGACAACCTTGTTTGATGCCAGACAGCTTACATCAAAAACGCTTTTCGTAATGTTTTTGTTCCAAATTTAAAGGCTACGAAGTGTTCATCGCCCCGATGTAGCCAACATAATTATACTCGCTTGCCATTGGTACGTCTTCGCGCGCTTGGATACTACCGGCAACGAACAGTGTTTGGAATGGTCTTTTGTTTAGGTCAACACTCCTCCTGAAAACGAGGAAATCTCGGGTGTGCCTTCCTAAAACCCGAGGCTCTGCAGTTTTCGAGCTACACGCTCGCAAAAATGGGGAAATGTATATGAGGGAGAGTATTTTATTGTCATGTTCCATTCATGACGACATAGTGTCGTTATTCAAACCCTGGCATTCCATGAGCCATCCAACGATCAAGGCAAATACAAATTAATTGTCGAGGCGTTCATATCTGGTATTCTTAAGCGTGATTTTCGCATATGCTCCACATTTCCATACAATTGGCTCTCAGTCAATCTTGTGCAAGGTACGATGACGTAATCAAACCACAATGCACTGAAGGAAATATTTACAAACTGGGGAATTGTGTTGTTTAAGGCAGTATTTTCCACTAAAAAGTTACACCAATAAATATAAGTGAGTTTGCTTCATCATAAATGAACCTTGCTTTGATATCTTCCAATGCGAAATATTTCCTTTAATGATTTTACCGAGCGAGTTACTCACACCTGAGTTGTTTTGTTTTGTTTTCTTGTTTTTTGCTTAACGATTTCCCTTTCTGAGATTTTTGCTCTTGACGGAGGTAGTCGATACTTTCCTGTTGGGGAATAGGTGATGCGACTCTCTCTCCCTGTCGTGGCCCCTTACTACCACCTTACGTAACGTCCATGGCCGTACGGTGATTTTTGTTTCAAAAATCTGTCAACAGCCTTCTACGGTGCTAAAACAAAACAGGCAGGCATAGGGAGAACTCAGCCCCACATCACCAGCTCGGCGGTGTCGCTGATTTGAACTCTCTGTTTATTCATGTGCTTAGATATATCCAGCCGCGGTGTAATTCTACGCGGATCACTTCCGGCAAAAACAATATAATGCTGATAACTCAGATGTTCTGAACGTAAATTCGGGATCAGGAATGATACAGACTATTGTAGACCCATTTTTTTTACCACTGGATTGCGAGTGGTCGTTGGCGTCCGCTCATCTTATGCTCCCAAGAAGGAACGTTAGTCTTCTGGGACAGTTCACATCAAGGCTACCGCTTATAGGCCACATCTAGGCTATAGGCTACATCTATAGGCTAGGCTACATCTATAGGCTAGGCTACATCTAATAACCGCTTATCACCAGATGACAAATTTCAAATGAGTGTCATCTCTTCAGGTCTTCCCACATCTGCATCTATATTTGCCTCAAAAATGCACGCAACTGTACCGTCACTGATCACGATTTGCCAATTGCTCCGAGTCGGGCCTCAACGCGTGACGTCATCATCCTGACGTCACGGGCAGCAGCCAACAGCTCCTGTCACGTTCACCGGCCCAGTAAGCCACCGTCTGCGCGGCCAAGTAAATCCCCGGAGCGGAGTGCATGTAGCTGTCTCATTGAATCGGTCAGTCCGTTATTAATGCATGGTCTGTGCAGCGCCACACCGCAAAGCGCCGCTGCAAGTGCATGGGACATCGCGTTCCCGTGGGACGAGCTTGTCTCCTCTGAGGCTTAGTGCATAACACAAAATGCATTGGCACTTCCTTCGGAAATATTCCACATGTTCGATCTTTGGACAGCATCACGAGGATTCCGCAACGGCGTTCCCCGACACCGCATTCAACGATGAGAAGTCCGGCGCCAGTGGGACCTCACCTTGTCTGGACGCACGTGAAAAGCACGAGAGGCAGGGTATGTGGGCGAATGCTGTGTGAGAGGCGAGTGTGTTGCACTAGCACTGTCAGCAATGATGCTGGAAATACATGAGGTCGGTGGGTTTTTGATAGCGTGTTGAGATGTGAGACTGTGGCACTGCTGTCGAAGTGAGACCTGCTCAGGTCCCTGGGGTCCAGGACGTCAGGACATCCAACACATAATGCCGGCGTCGAAAACAGACGCTGTGCTTTATTGGTTGTGGTATATTGTGCCAGTCCTCTTGCACGCATTGCAATATGCAGGACCAGGTATCGGTATCATCGGGTTCAAATTGCAATGTTTAAGGCATTCAGCACAAACACCATCAAATGTCCTTCTGGTGCATGCAGCTAGGAAAAGCACAGCATTTTTTTTTTTTTTTGCTATCAGCAAGAAACCTCCTCAGCCTCTCAGCTCCAGGCTTTCCGGCATGATGGGTTCGAACCTGATGCTAAACGGCTTGCGGCCGATTGACTTCAGGGTTGAGTCCTAGAAACAGATCTATTTGTTTCGGTCATAGCTTAACGGTCTGTTGGCAGCTACCCAAAACGTGCTTGTACCGCGGGGGCCATGAGCGGAGGAAAGTATCGGCGGCATTAGGTATGTCCGAGCGGAATGCTAACATTCCAGCCTTTTGGATTTGGAAAACGGTTGGGAAAGCACTTTTCGCCCATCCCTGCTTGTTTCTGTCAGCCACCCATCGGGCTTTCTCAGCCGTTTGTAGCATTGCGGAGCAGCCGGCCTTTACACCAGATCCCATCCCGGTCCGACCTCAAATAGGTGCGTCACGGTGAAGGCCCCCAAAAGCCGAGCGTCAGACACGTGCTAGAACAGCGTCTCTCGGGAGGATCTCCTCCAGGAAAACTGTGCTGATCACGACCGGTCCTGTGCACCGTGACGTCACGGTCCGGTGCCGCATATATAACTAGCCGGCCGCTGGGGGCTGCATACAGAAGCGTTTGGTGGCCCGACCAGACAGCAGACGAGAGTGGACTCTGGTCAGCCGCAGTGCAAGACTTTCAGTCAGCAATATGGGGAAACTGCTAGTCATCGCTGTTGTTTGTGTGCAGCTGTGCTGTGCACAGTACCCGAGATACCTTCGTTTCCCGGTTGGCAGAGGTAAGAATACTATTTGAAATAATGTCATGGTGACTTTAAAAAGCCAATTTACATCGCTGGCCTGTTCTCCCAGTCAGTTCGCAAGCATGACAGCAAAGTGTCTTTTTATGAACAAACCACCTGCAAAGCTTAACTATGTGTGCTCTATGTTTAGTAGCGAGATCCTGGGGTAAATCTCTAATTACATTTGTTCTCTACAGGTGACGACACTACATGTCATGACAACCAGGTTGACAAGAAGTACGACATCGGTGATGTTTGGAGCTCCCCATTCTCTGGCTGTAAACAGAGTCACTGCGTCAAGAACGACGGCGTTCTTTACATTGACAGATTCCAGTGAGTGTTAAATGCAGTCACCAATTAACAGTTCGAGGTCGGGACCTGGCCACCTGCCACCGTGCAATTCTTGTTACCAATATAAACCCACCGGACATGCTTTTCAAAAGCTCTATCATCTCCAATACCCAGACTAGGTGAAATCCGCAAGAAGGTAATGTAAACCAGGCTTTGTATGATTTATATTCGTATTTGCTGACGTTTCAAACCATGTGCGTTGAGGGTTTGTTGACGCCCCTGGCCTATCGGGTTTTATAATTAACGCAATCACTTTACAGGTGCCCGTCGGTGAGAAAGCAGGTGGACTTTAAGAAGCTGAAGGCCGACAACCTGTTCTGCCGCGAGGCTCGGGGAGACAGGAGGAAGGAGTTTCCCGACTGCTGTGCCCGTCTTGTCTGTAAACACCACGTGGACGGCAAGCTTGTGCCGCTGCCGGCGCACAAATATCCCCTGCTCTAGTCAGGGCTGGGATGAAACTGCATTTGCTTGAGTGTGAACCAAAGACGTCTGAATATTCGTCCGTGTGTGCACCTTTGGTGCATCCGAATGTTCCTATCGCTTCTTTCGGGCTTTCAGTGCGAGTCTTGTGATAGTGGTGTATTGTCTATTTATATGGTTTTTGTGCACCTAAGTATATTTTTTTATTTGTTGGTCGTCTTTTTTGTTCATCACCAACCTGATGCTCGGGTAAATATATCTGTCAACCTGAACTGATGTGACCTGTTGAGACGCCTGGACAAATCATTTTTCGTGATCTTGTCAACCATAACAGCGTTATGACCATCCGTACACCGATGAAACTTTTGTGAGAGATGTTATCAGTCAGATAGAATTTAACCCTCATTCTTTGGTCGAAACGTGGTGGAATCAAATTTAGGGTTGAAGCGCGGGTAAACCTGAAACATGCGATTTTTCGACCTGACTGAGATCTGTAACAAACAGATGCAAAACAATCTATCGTTTCCTCCCGAGTGGGGCAGACTTGCAACAACTTAGGCAGTGCAGTTTTCGTCAATCCATCATCGCTGCTGGTCACGTTATACTCAGCGCAGGGTAGTGTGACGAGTATAAAAATATACATCACAGATGTTTTTTTTAACTGCAGTCCTACTGCTTATATCCTGAAATGCAATATATTTGTGAATACAAAATTTACCTGACCCGCCAATATAGCCTTGGAAGGAATGTACGGACCAATCACGGGCTATTCAAAACGTGTGCTCCATCTTCGGTTGATCGACGACACCCGGTAGATGTGAGTTATACAACAGCTCACTAAATCAAATATGATCAATGCAGGCGATAAATGAACGTGTGAACTACACATGGTAGCTTCAAGAATAAGAATGGGAGTAGTTTGGGTACTTAGTTGTCGACTTGATGTCATGCTAAAAGCAGAGGTGAGCAAAATAGCCCAGCAATCGTCTTTGGCTAAAGGTTATCAGTAAAGTAAATCTGTGAAACCACTGAAAAGTTAGCGGAAGACACATTTTCTTCGGTAGTCCGCTACATTATAAGGTCTACAGGATTGAAATCCCTTAAACCTGTTGAAAGGGCAGAAAAAGAGCTGGACAATGGGTATCCGGCGGCATTTGGTCGAACCGCGCCCGGTGGCACCGAATGGTCTGATGAGCTCTGATGATAAACGCGTGATGCGTCATCCTCATGATAATGTGATGTGTAGTAACTCTGGGACGTGCCTGGCCATTCTCATCGCACATTACAGCACTTGCAGCTGCAGTAGAGATTGGCTGAATTTTGGAATTCACGCACATTTATGAACCAAAGCGCGCATATGAATCGCGACACGATGATTCGACGCCAGCGATATAACACACCTGGATCTCCGCCCCTTAGGGGCCGGTCTGTGGTGTAGGCGTGTCACGTACCAGCAAGTTCGCTTTTCGGTCCATACGGTTGCCATTCACCTAAACGTGGGTGAAACCGAGGTTTGATAATGAAGGCAAAGCAAGTCGATCTGCAAACCCGCAAAAAGAAGCTTTCTGATTGTGTGGTGGGAGTGCCGGGGAAGTTGGGGTCTCTATTTATGGTATGCCGACTTACGCAAATGACATCGACACATCAGATGTAGGATAGCATGTTGAAGGTGGTCGTGAAAATCAACTGTGTACATCCTTTAGTTAGCAATGCCTGATGCCGTTGGAAAGGTCGCAACGATGGGCACTCGGCTAACTGTAAAGTAAAAGGGTGTTAAGTAAACTAGGATCAGATCTTACAGCACCGAAGCGGGGACAATTTCAAATCTGGCGACGATTGCAGACATATCTCAGCTGCCTCGAATTTTTTTCTGTAAAAGGGGGTCTGAATGACTAGCCGTGTTCTGAGAACAGGACGTGGCTTGCCTTAGCATTGCACTACCAGGGCTATTTCATCCCATGCAATAGAAGATCAAAAAATATTTTGAGTACGCATTGGTTTGCTACCGTCCGCACTCCATGGCTGGGAAACTGCCCCTGAGATGTATTGTGGCCACTCAGCAATGACTTGAATGAAACTAGACCCACCCACAACAGACGGTGAGCTAACGCGCTTGTTTTTGTCGCGGAGGACTCGGAAGAAGTTGCACGATTTTAGCATCCTTAGCTGTTAAACGCACGCGGATACTGTCGTACTCAGAGTCATTGTCAATGACCTGTACAAGTGAGAGCATGACTGAAAAGGTCCAGCCGAAAACCCTCTAATAGGAATGAATGGGCATATGGCTGAGAACTTCAGAATTGCGTGATATAAAGAACGACTGCTTTTGAACACTCCGCAGTGAACCATATGCCTCATGTTGTTCCAGATATCGCGATGACACGACGGCGCAACCGGGATTACCATAAACATTTACTGGGACGTTCATGCCTGATCAGACCAAACTCCAGTGAAAAATACGTGCCCGACCAGCCCTGGGAAGCAGAGTCATTGTTTACACCACACCCGAAAAAGTGACTGTGCCAAGTGCCCAGTGGGTACGGTTAGTGCGGCCAGTTACGTACCAGATACAAAGACGCAGCATGAGCATACAGCAATCACCAAACGCTTGGATATGCCGTCAAGAATCGATGCCAGTGATTCGATAATGAGATAGCAGATGCCGTAGAAAAAAGGACGGACTGAGAACATGGCTAAACCTGCAAAGTTCTGCGGTACAAAGAGGAATTAGTGCGAACGACAAGTCGGAGAAAGCCGTAGATCTGAAGCTATCACAAGAACCTGATGACATGATAACGACGACCTACGTCACAAGCAGGCGGGTGTGCAAGGAACGTTTGCGGACACTTTTAAAACTCGAGTGCATGATCGAAAAATAATACTAAAAAACTGGGGGGAAATGTGCGCGTTTAGTGCTGCGAGGTCAATACACTGAAATGGTTCACGATGCTCTGACCACGCAGCGATGCACTGGCCTGTACTAAAGATTTCGACGGCACATTCAACAGTAATAAGGGGAGAAATCAGATACGGTGAAAACATGCGGTGGTTAACACAGGGAACGTTGCTCTCATAACCTGTTTTGACCCTCCCCACGCCCACAAAAAGCAGTGGCAAGTGCTGGGAATGTGCGGTGAGAATGGTGAGCTACATCCCAGAGCAACTATACATCACATGATCATGATCATGATGCATGCCAAAAAGCGAGGCACGGATCGCGCGTTTGTCACTGACGCTCATCAGACCATTTGTTGTCGCCGGGCGCAGTTCAACTAAATGCCGACGGGTACCAAAGGTCCAGCTCTATTTTGGCCATTTCAAAAGGTTTAAGGGGATACCAATCATGTCGGTTTTAAAAAAGTAACTGATAAACGAAAAAACTTTTCCTTTCATTAGGTTTGCAGCAGTTTCATATATCTGCTTCACAGAAAGCTTTTAGTGAAATTTAACTTTTTGCCTAACTTTGCCCACCTCCGCTGAACTAACGCACATCAGGCAAACATCTACCAGGTGTCGTCGAAGAACCGGGGACAGAACATTCGCTTTGAACACCCCGTGATTGGTCCTGAATGCCTCCGGAAGCTATATGGTGAACCTAGTAAAGGTGAAATTTAGGAAAATAATCGGGTTTCAGAACTCAAACTGAAAGAGTGTGGCTGTCAAAACCTCTGTGATATGTGCGTCCATACCGGTCGAACTACCTTGCCCTGAGTATTGCGTGAACAGAAACCACGATGGATCGATGGAAACCGCGCTGCCCAGGTAGCTAATGCTGCTAGTCTGTCATACTCGGGAGGACCCAACTGTGTGATTTTTCTGTCTTTTGTTCCAGGCTTCAGGCTCAAAAGTGATATATCTCACGTGTATTCACGCCTCAGTCTGGAATTGAATTTCACTGCGTTTCCAAGGAAGAATATTGGTAAAATAATATCTGACTGGGGAAACGGCCCCTGAACACTTCCTCGTTGTCCGGACGATCATGGCACTGCCATGAACGACGACATTATGGAGAATGATTTGCCAAGATGTCTCAACAGTTCCCACATCAACCCTCAAAAGTATATTTACCTGAGCATCAGATTGGTGCAGTACAAAAACAGCGCTCAGTAGTAACAAAGTGGTACGTGCATGCACAAAAACCATCTAAATTGTCATTGCGCCAATATCACATGACTTGCACTGAAAGCCCGCGCAGCAATAGCAACATTCGGTCGCATCAAATGTGCACACACGGACGAATATTTAGACGTCTTTGGTTCTCATTCGAGCAACTGTAGTTCCATTCCATCGCTGACTAGAGCAGGGGATATTTGTGCGCCGGCAGCGGCACAAGCTTCCCGTCCACGTAGTGTTTACAGACAAGGCGGGCACAGCAGTCGGGGAACTCCTTCCTCCTGTCTCCCCGAGCCTCGCGGCAGAACAGATTGTTGGCCTTTAGCTTCTTGAAGTCCACTTGCTTTCTTACCGACGGACACCTGTAAAGTAAGTGCGTTGATTCCAGAACCCGAAGGACCAGGGCCATTAAGTACTCAGCAACACGCATGATTAGAAGCGTCAACAAATGGAAGCATAAAACATACAGCTGGTTTCCATCACTGCTGTGGACTTCACCTAGTCTGAGTGGTGAAAATGACATAAACTTTGAAAGACATGCCCAGTGTGAGTAGCATGTTGAATAGCAGGTCCAGTGGGTTAATTTAGGCAACAATAATTGCACGGTGACGTCTGTCTAGGTCCCGACTTCCAGCTAATGATTGATGACTGCATTTCACGCTTACTGGAATCGGTCGATGTAAAGAACGCCGTTGTCCTTGATGCAGTGGCTCTGTTTACAGCCAGAGAATGGGGAGCTCCAGACGTCACCGATGTTGTACTTCTTGTCAACCTGGTTGTCATGGCATTTGGTGTCGTCGCCTGTAGAGAACAGAAATATGTCGAGAATTACCCCCAGGACCTCGCCGGCAAAACATAGGGTACACATAGTTAGCTTTGCACATGCTTTGTCCATAAAAATCCACTCTGCTGCCATGCTTGTGAACTGACTGCGAGAACAGGCAAGTGGTATCAATTGGCTCGATAAAGTCATCTTGATATTATGTCAATAGGTCTCACCTCTCCCAACCGGGAAACGAAGGTATCTCGGGTACTGCGCACAGCACAGCTGCACACAAACAGCAGCGATGACCAGCAGTTTCCACATATTGCTGACTGACAGTCTTGCACTGCAGCTGACCAGAGTCCACTCTCGTGTGCTATCTGGTCTGGTCGCCAAACGCTTCTGTATGCAGTCCCCACCGGCCGGCTCGTTATATATACGGAACCGGACCGTGACGTCACGGTGCACAGGGCTGGTCGTGATCAGCGCAGTTTTCCGGGAGGACATTCTCTCGAGACGCGCTGTTCTAGCACGTGCATGACGCCCGGCGTTTGGGGGCCTTCACCGTGACGCACCTATTTGAGGTCGGACCGGGATGGGATCCGGTGTAAAGACCACCGCCCCGCAATACTGGAAACGGCCAAGAAATGCCTTGGATCGGCCAGCAAAAACAAGCGTAGGTGGGACGTAGAAATACTTTTCCAACCGCTTCTCGGATCTAGAAGGCTGGGAAGTTGGTGATCCGTACATGCATGCCTGATGCCGCCGAGACTTGCCTCCGCATATGGCCCGCCGCGGTAAGGCCCCGCGATAGTACAGTGTCCTGAAACTGCTTTCCACTTGGGTGGAGGGGGTGTCACTATTCACAAAGAGATGGAAACATTACCCCATTTTCATCATGTTTAACAGAACAAAATTGGGTTTAAGTCACAACATTTGATTGCTCACTAATTACACTTCATGTTTTTTTCTTTTTCAGGTCCCGATCATTGTCGTGCTGGTCTGGTATCCTGCCCATGTACCATTTTCGTATTCCAGTCTTCCTCACCATCCACCGTCCACTGAAGCCCATATGTTGATAGTGTGATAGTTACTCGTGATAGTAAGCAATGATGGTCGTATTTTAATTGGTAGAAAATAAACATCAGGTGCCAAGTAACCGTTACGAGCTTTTCTCAGCCTAGTTGCAAAGAGTACAATACACGCCGACGAAAGCGCATTGCCACGATCTCTACTCAGCAGACGCTGAAGGCGGTAATTCCTCACATCGTGGTATGGAATGCAAGGGAACTGAGCCTGCCAACTATCAAGATACGTAGAACAAGCAAGATGCATTTAACTTGCGTTCCCTCCTCCTAACAAGTTTTAAACTCATGACATGTGGCGATTTTTACGCATCACCTTTGCCAAAGCATTTCTACAACGGATGTACCTCAAAACGGCGCCCATGCCCCAACGGGCCTGTGTTGAGACAAAACCTTACAGCTTACAGCTAAGCTTAAGCTGTCAGGTTACTGCTTCTCAGAAAATTCAGCCAAAAAAGGGATACCAAATGAATTGGAAACATGCGACAAGCTCCCGTATAATTATGCCGTTAATGATTTTTGGAAGCCCATCCCTATTAGCGATTCAGCAGCGGTGTAGAAGCACTACGCGAGACATCAGTGTCAGCCGGTGTGAATCCAGAAGGCGAGGGGGGGGCATGGGGCCATGGCCCCTTGGGCCCCCAAGGGGCACATAGGCTACGAAGAAGCCCAAAGCCGGCCGAACAGACACAGTTTTGTACACAAAACGCGACAAAAGAACAGTCGCAAGTGAAAACGAAGGGCTTAAGAGCAGATGAAAATAATTTCTCGCTGGTTGAGAAGGAAGGGATTGGAGGCTTTAATGCTCAGTGCGCTGCAACTTGTAACTTTGACCTAAGTGAGACCACGTACAGGTCAATGCACTCTGTAAATGTGGCGTCTCTAGCTTTCTTAGTCCCGGAGATCTCAGGGGGGTGGGGGCAACTTGACCCCTACCCCCCCCCCCCCCACCCGAGCGAATGGTATATAACCGGCCACCCGGGCGCGTGTTTAGAGAGCCACAGGCTCCGAAGGGACCCATGAACGGCCGAACAGGTGCTGTTTTCCAACATAAAGCACAACAAGATTTAACGTCTTTGGGCGTCCAAGCGACCAAGAACAGTCACCAGCGAAATTCGCTGATTGAGAGGGCGGTGATTGGACAATATTTTAATGCTCATTACACTGCCTTAAGGTCAAAATTACGCTGCTGTCAGGGACCTTTATATTTACTTCCCGGGTATATCCTATCGCTAAGGAACCTTCCACGTTGTCCTTGATCTCTTTGCATTTTCTGGCAGGGTCCCACGCTGCTGTTGGGGCACTATCCGCTAACATGCCTGGGCACTCTTAATCAATCAGCGCTCCTCCACGGATACTTTTCATTTGCCCAAAGGCTCCATACGCTTTTTCCGGGCCCCATATACCGGGTCACTCTCAGATGCTCATAGCCGCTTCATATTAGTCTCGGGCTCTTTCCACTTGCTCGAAGGGCCTTGTGTTGCTACGGGGGCCCATACAGGGTAAAGCATCGAGCCATTCGATGCTCAGGAGCCCTCTACATTGATGTTTTCATTGATCTCGTTTGCGGAGAATCCTTCACTCCCATCGAGGCACTTTCTGTTAACCTACCCAGGCAATGTTGATCGCACATGGGCATAAATTCACGCACACTGATCTTGTGTAATTCCCCTTTGCTCAAAGGACCATGTGCTCAGCCCGGGGCCCCATATGTCGGCATGCCGGGGCACTCCTGATCGTTTCGGGGTCTACCACGTTAGTTTGGGGTTCTTCCCGCTTGCGCTGAGGACCTTTCACTTCCTGACGGAAGCTTCTCTGTTGGCCTGTCGCAGCTCCCACCATCGCTCTTGCTCTCTCGCTCAGCTCTTGGTACCTTAGCCTTACAGCACCAGTGGGATATGCAACAATGAATTTTTAAGCGCAGTTGTCAAACATAATTTTGCATGCCGCCTTCGTTGTGTGTGTCGTTTATGTTGGTTGTTGAATTTGTGGTACCTTTTATAGTTGTGCATCATGTTCTTAACACATTTAGATACTAAGATATTTTGTGACCCATGATACACACAGCGAAATCTCTGCGCTAGTCATCAGCTGTAAGCTTATCACGTTGACCAGGATGCTTCCTGTAAATAAGCTAGGAGTGAGGTTCGTGCTTGATCTAATATCATTTAGCAGCCAATTCTAGTTAATTTTTCCATGTTTTTTCGACAAACTGGGCCTCAAAATGAAGGATTAAGCAGGCTGGAGAAAATGAATAATCCTCATGTGCGTGTGCTCACGCCAATTTTTCTAGGTCTGCGCAGATTAAGATGAATTCCCGTATAATCAAAATCCTGCATCCGCCCCTGGAGTCAGCAAATTTTTCTCAGCAGCCAAAGCTCTATACCAATGTCTTGCCTGGTTCAGCGCAATGGTGGAACAGCGCAACCGTCTTCAGGTCATTGCTAAGGGGACGGCGATACACTTTGGGCACAACTGAAATACTGGTACTGGTGCTATACTGTAAGGGAGCGCGCGCTATATGCCACGCACGCACGTGGCATGGTGGCATATAGTGCCGCACGTACGCGCAGGCCACGCACTGTACGCCATACTGATGCTATACAGAAGTGATCATAATTGTCGCCCCGATTCGCCGTGTTTAATAACAGACTGATAGGGAAATGGGGTGATGTGATCCCAAGACATTCACAGACAAAGCATGAGATTAGCAGTTTTATAGGGGATGTCAGCCATGTCGGTCTTAAAAAAATAGCGGATAACGGAAAGCCTTATCCTTTGTTCACTTTTAGCAGATTCACGGATTACTTTACGGACAGACTTTAGCAAAATTTAACCTTTTGGCTAACTTTGCCTACCTCCGCCTTTAGCATCGCCCATATTCATCGGTAAGTACCCAGCCCTTCCCAATTTTTATTCTTGGAGACACCCTGAGCGGTTCACACTTTCAAATATCACCTGCATGTTATCATGTCTGATGAAGTGAACCGTTTCACAGGGCACTTCAGTCAAACATCGACCAGGTTCGTGGAAGAGTTGGAGACAGAACACTCGCTTTTGAGTAGGCCGTGGTTGGTCTTGAAATTCACCCCAAAGCCATTTTGATGGGTCTGGTGCAAGTTATATGACGGAAAATCGTCCAGTTTTAGCCCGCAAGTTGTGGAGAACGGAGACCGCTGCCATCAGCCTCTATGATGCACGTTTTTGTATCGGTTAAACTATCTTGTGCTGAGTATACCGTGACCAGCAGTGATGATGGATGAATGAAAGCCGCGCTGCCCAAGTAGCTGCTGCTGTCAGTCTGTCACACAATGGAAGAAACAAATTTGCGATTTTTTTGTCTTCTTGTTGCAGATCTCAGATGCGTTCAAAAGTTGTAAATTCCACGTTTATTTGCGCTTCCATCCGGCGACAGATATCGCTTCGCTTTGCATGAAGAATAATGGTTGAATGTATCTGAATGGTAATATCGCTCACAAACGTTTCATCGGTGTACGAATAACCATAATATTGCCATGGACGACGACATTATGGAAAATGACTTGTCCAGATGTCTCAGCAGGTCCGATCAATTCAGATTCAACGTACATTTACCAGAGCATCAGATTGGTGCTGAGCAAAGCTTGCGACTAGTTGTATGCGCGAAATCCTATGACTGAAAGATCGCACCAATATCACAAGAACTCCAGCTGAAAGCCCAAACGGCAATAGGCACATTCGGCAACACAACTTCGCATACACGGAAAATATTCAAACATCTTGGTTCGCACTCCCGCAACTGCAGTTTCATCCCAGTCCTGACTAGAGCAGGGGATATTGTGCGCCGGCAGCGGCACAAGCTTGCCGTCCACGTAGTGTTTACAGACAAGGCGGGCACAGCAGTCGGGAAACTCCTTCCTCCTGTCTCCCCGAGCCTCGCGGCAGAACAGATTGTTGGCCTCAGCTTCTTGAAG